AGGAATGCCATGGAAGTGATGTCATTAGGTCCTTCTCAGTGCCTTGAATCAGGATGCAGGACAGTTTCATTGGAAAATAAAATGTTATATTCAGTGTTCTGAGAATGATTCTGCAGAAATTATGTTTAGATATAAAAAAGGAGAACAAACAACTCCTAAAGGAACCATAACAGGAACAACCGAACAGTGAAGCAGTTTTCCAAGATGTCACCAGAGCCTAGAGCTGGATTTTTTGTTTTTGTTTCTATCTTCAAAATGTTTCTGTGTGTCTGGTCCTGGGTGCACGTAACTCTATTTAACTTTTAAAACTTTAAAAATTATGTATTATAAGGAACAGAATAATATCTTTATGGCGCATTCATAAAAAAGAATGCTATGCATTAAAACAGTGATGTCTAATCATATCAACAGACATAAAAAGATGTCCAGAATAAGTGCAGATCAGTAGGCAATATTTCATTTCTATAAGTTTTTATTTCTCTCTCATGACAGAGAAAGACAAGGGAATTCTCTCTTCTTGACTCCATTGCCACTGCCCTGCTTCAGGCTGTCTCTTCCTGAGGTTGTGACAGAAGCCTCCTCCCAAGCCCAATTGCTCACTTGTACAAATTAGCTCTGTCGCTGTCACTAGACTTCCCTTCCTGAAAGAAGAGCGTGAATATAATGGCTCAAATCCGACATGGGTTTTCCCAGGGGAGGTTCATTCCCTGGGAGGTTAATGGCTGATAGGGCAACATTGTTAAAAAGTGAGGTGGAGAAGGAGTCGATTCCCGCAGAAGTCTGACTTACTGGTAAATGTGGGTTTTAACCCAGTCCAAACAGTTTCTTTACTGCAGAATTCAGCAGAGTCCTTTGTAATCTAATGGACATGTCACATCTCCAAGAAACACATTTTAAGTGTGTTATTACTCAAATTGATTTGACCTCAGAATTCTTTTCATTTTTACAGAGGATCCATACTTTAGGAAAGCTCCTAGAAGGAGCAGGGCTACGACGCGGAGGAGCCTAGGTCTCTGAGTCACCACGTGGAGCTGAGCTTTCCAGGAAAGCGGCCAAATGCAAACACCTATGGCGGACTATCGGGTGGGTGAGAAATAAACTTTTGTTGAGTTCAGCGACTTGAACTTCTGAGCTGTCTTCTATTTATGGCAGTTAGTCTATGCTGCCCAAGAAAAAATGCATGCAGGGTTTTAACATATTTGCCAAAGACTAGATTATGTTTCTCAGCCTGGGGAGCTTTTGTCCGGAAGAGTAATAGTCATGTGGATTGCAGCCTTATTAAATGCTGGGTGCTGTGATAAGCACTTTGTAAACTCATCTTATTTAATCCTCTTGACCAACCAGTACAATAAGTTCTATCATTGCCCCATTTCACAGATGAAGAAAGAGGTGAGTATAGAGAGGTTACTTAACATGAAGATAAGAGGCCTGCAAATTGAAGATCAGTCATTTGTTTCTGGGTCCTCGGTCTCAACCACATTAAGGTTCTGCCTCCTAAGTCCAGGTTATGAGGTCAGAAAATTGGGGTTTCAGGGGCAGTTTGGTGAGTTACCTATACTAACAGGACATCTAGATGACTTGTTACTTACAGTCTTTTTTATTTAGATTCCCTTTTTTTAAAGAATTATTTATTTAATTCTATTTATTATTATTTTTTAAATTTTCTATAAGGCTCAGGCATTCATCAGAGAGAGGCAAAGAAAGAGAGAGAAAGTGAGAAATTAAGGGGCTAGGTCCGGGACTCAAACCGTGGTCAGCCACATGGGAATCCAGCACCTTAACCACCATGCCACCTGCTGGCCCTGATCAGTGACTTTCATCAGGATGGATCTTGCTCCCCTGAAGAAAAATGACAATATCTGGAGACATTTTTGGTTGTCACAGCCAAGGAAGTACTCCTGGCTCCAAGGTGGTAGAAGCCAATGATGCAACTAAAACATCCTACGATGCAAAGACAGCTTTCCCTAACGAAGCTCTATCTACCCCCAAATGCCAGAGTGTCAAAGTTGACCTGACCTAGACAGTCTATATATTTCATCGACCGGGCCCAAAATGTCCAGAATAAACTCACACTCTCTCGGCCTAAGAAGCATACATTAAAACTCTGCTTTATGCTTTAATAGCTAACAGAGTAGGAAAGGCAATGGCTGACGTGTGGCTTTTGATGTTCAGAGACGTTGAGCCTTGGCCATTTTGGAAGGAAGCCAGCCCAAAGAAGACTGGCCACAGATAAAATTTTCAGTTTGGCAGGACCTCGGGAACAATATATCGTGGCAGAATAGAAATTCCTCTTGAAAGAATGCCAGACCTTTTTGGTTTCCTAGTAACGTAATTTCCCTGAGATTTCTCATGTGTCTGAATTTGCAGCATCTCTACACCTATTTTAAATCAAGGCAACAAAAGAAATTGAACAAAAAAGAGAAAGATGACATAACAGAATCAGAGCTGCTTGGCGAAAGAAGGAAAGCTGAATGTCCATCCCCTTACTCATTCTTTTCGATATATGGAACCCTACTTTAACATAGGAAGCAGGACAGGGCTGTCACCCTCACAAAGGTCCAGAATGTTCTGTTAGAAAGCTCTCCCTCCCAGGAGCAGAAACTTGCTTCTCTGAACTGTTTGCTGGGATAATGGCAGGGGTGGGAGGGGACAGGGAAATGGGTTCAGAGGAGACTAGAGCAGGGTGGAAAGTGTTCACACTAGAGCATCCTGGGTGCCAGGCACTAGAGCTTGGTGCACTTCATCCTGACCCCCATGTGTCACAGCGCTGCAAGTAGCAATCCTGCGCACCCTCTGCGCCCCTCCCTGTTGTCTTCCAGATGAAACCACAAAATTCAGTTTCAAGTGGAAACATCCTTTAGGGGCCCTGTTAATTCAGTCAGTCATTTATTAAGCACATACTTACTGAGCACCAGCCAGCGGCGGGTTACTGGGGTTACGATAGTGGTCAAAACAGCCTTTCAGGAGAGCAGGGCTGCTCATCCTGTCTGCAAGGGAAGCTCTCAATCTGGGAGCTCTTATTATTTATTATCTGATGCAGAAAATCCCATGTCAGTAGCCTGCAAGGTGGCCTAGGATATCCGAGACATGGCCCAGAGCAAGTGCCATCTAGCTGGGCAGGCTGACGTGTAGAGGGTTTTGCCAGGTAACAGGAGGTGGGGGGTGGGGGGAGCAGTGTTATAGGCAGAGGGAACAGAACAGTCATGTGATTACTGCGGGGCACGGGGCACCAAAAATGGGTTGATGCGGCTAATCTGAGGAAGCGGGAGTGATGGTGGAGAGGTGGCCCAGGCTATCGGGGCCCTGTGGGTCATGTATGGGTCTTTAGCTGATTGGATTCAATGTTTAGGAAGCCAGTCTTGAGGGCTGTGTGGAAAATGGCTCGGAAGGAGCAGAAAGGCCAGGTTCTGGGATGGGTGCCCCCAGGGGACACTATGGAGAGGAGGACAGAGAGAAGTGACAGCAGAGGAGAGCAGTCTCAACTATTTGCAATAAACTCTGTTAATTCACCTTCAAAAGTTACTCCAAATAAACAGAAAATCAAACCGAAGGGACCAGGAGGACTCCCATGTAGTCAACAGCGGTTCAAGTCCTGGACCTGGCAGCTTAAAACTCACGCCAGGCATATGTGCGTGCATGCCCAAAATCCCAAGAGGAGAAGGGCTTGTGGCATGGCCATCACTCCAGGGGGTGATTTCTCACTTTCTGTGTCTTTGGCTTCTGTCTCTTTGGTGAGCACACATGCCCTATAGCAAAAATCTCTCTCAAAGAAGAAAAAGGAAAGAAAAGAGAGAAGAAAAGACAAGACAAGAAAAGACAAAACAAAAAAGAAAGTCAAACTGAAAACACCATGTTGCCTATGCACCTGCAGCTGGGAAATAAAACCTAGCCCTGAAACCCTCCCTACCCTCCTGCCAACAGATTACTTAAACTGAAAACACCATGTTGCCTATGCACCTGCAGCTGGGAAATAAAACCTAACCCTGTATCCCTCCATACCCTCCTGCCAACAGATTACTTTCTGAGCTCCCCTGCATTGAAATACTGTATCCGACCTGGAGACACGGGCATTTAGGATAGACAGGACTTAGTGTTTCCACGTGGGACACAGAGAGGGGGAAGGAAGCAAGGATGACTGGTCCCAACTTGAGCAGCAGGTGGATGATGGAAAAGGAGCATTTTCACTGGGAGGAGGGAGTCACTGGGCCAGGGGGAGCTGAGAACCTATGGCAAGTCCAAGTGCAGGGAGAAGAAGGG